CTCCTTGATCTCTTACAGCCTGGGCCTGAATCGAACGGGCTTTCCTGCCGCAGCTTCATTCTTGGCACATGGAATGCGGGCGTGGACCCCCCACTATCAGCCTGAATTTATACTGGTCAGCTCCATGAATTGCCTGAGCCGTCAATATTTAAATGGAACCCCCGCCGCGTTGCATGTTTCTGCACTACACAGGAGAAGTACCACTTTAGGCATTTATCTAGATGGAATTATATTCAGACTGCGTGGTCAAAATGTTCTCCCGCTGACGGCCAACATAAGAAATACCCCCAAAAACTCAAACACATTTTCCAGCGAGTGGCCTGGTCCCGAATCGAACGGGCGCGTCGGAGACCTGCAGAAACCAAATAATTACTTGGGTATGGAATGCAGGTGCGGACCTTCCGCTACCAAGCCATATTAAATTGTGAGAGCTCAGCGATGATGTCATTTGGTAAGTGGCAAATTTATTATATGGTATTCAGCGCAGCACCATGAAACTATATTTTTAAAGTGAGGTAGTAAGATCAGACGAAGGGTAAGGTGCACTGAGGGAAGAAGAATGTGGAATGGACCGCATAAAAAGTTACAATCCTACATGAAACGGCCTGGTCCCAAATCGAACGGGAGTCCTTCGTAATTATGTCACCCAAACACCAAATGAACGTAGGCGCAGACATCCCCCTACCAGGCCATATTCGTGCCATTTAGAACCTTCAATGGTGCGAGTGAGGCTGCGAGGTGCGAATGTCTTCCGTTCGCTGTCATGTAGCAAGTAGTAAAGCGAAAGATGATAAAAGTCTATCACCATGCAAGGGGGTCCAACGATAAGAAAAAATGATATCACCTACAATTTTTTTTTCCAGGGCCCTGGGGCGCTTGACCCACTACCTCCCCCGTGGGAAATTTCCTTTTTGGGAACAGCATTTTCCGCGAAGCGCTGGAAATCCTCGTGAGGTCTCTGCTGCTACTGCAAAAGCTAAAACAGCTATTGTAGCATACTATGGAGCCCCCGGGAAGCCTTTGAGAGTTAATCAAAATCCAATATTCAACAGAATACATGGCTCGGATGCCGGAGAAGCTCGACAAGAGCTCTACTTCAAGTTGACACTTGGTTTTGTCCTCTACGTGATTTGAACAGCAATATGTTTCCAAAAGCCTCCCCAAGGGATATTTCGACGCCCGTAAAATAAAACTTGGGTGAAATTCCGAAAATTGCCATGCTTGTACATATTTAGTGTGTCGGCCCTCTCTGATCTTGCTTGAACCATGCTACATGGCTGTAGGAAGACTCAGTAAAGGTGCAAAAGTGTATTGGAGTCTGTTTGGAGGTTCCTACAGTGGATATACTTGAAAAAAAAATTGCGTACAATTTTATTTTCTGGCGGTCGGGACCCAACCCACCCACCCAACCCCATATGGTAATTGCTTATCGTTGGACCCCCTTGTCACCATGTCTGCACATCAGGAAAATCCCAAATTGCTAATAGGCTCTATTAGGCGGCCATAGACATCCATAGACACTCATAGACGCCATAGCAACGTTGCTATAGCCGCTATAGCCTCTATGGCGTCTATGGGTGTCTATGTGGAAGCTCATAGCAATTTGGCTTTTTCCTGATGCAGTGCCCTGGGCCCGAATCAAACGGGAGTCCTGTGTAAATATCTTGACTTGGAACACGAAATGGAACGCAGGCGCAGACATCTCGCTACAAGGCCATATTTATGTAGTTTTAAACCTCGTATCAGCCGCGTTTGTTGAGCTCGGATTATTGGAACTGGGCAATCCAGTAGAAGCCCGAGACATGGCGCACTTAGTAAAAGCTGCCCGATATGGATTCGAGGGGAACACGTTGGAATATTCCGGAATACTGGTATACTGTAGTATTACGACCAAAGGTTCACGGGGTGTCACCCGTCACCTCAATTGTTCACTGGATAAGTTGTTCATTCGCCGGCAATCAGGAGAAAATTACCATATATGGTAGTCCGGCACTTGCCGGACGGAAAATTTTGACGCTTTTTGGCCTATTTTAGCCACAAAATCTCAAAGTCACCGTCACCTAGTGCAAAATTGTTCAGTTCACGAGGGCCTGTCACCCGTCACCTGAACCTTTGGTCGTAATAGTACAGTAAACACGACCTACGGTAGAGCTCCTCATAAGCTCTAGTAAGCTAAGGGAGATATTTCACCAGGTTCAACGAGAGTTTACTGCAAGCAGAAAGCAGCCGCAGACCTCCCGCAAGCCTATAAGCCGTTGTGAGCGAGTCTCTGGAATATCCGTCAAACGTATTTATGTTAGAGATTTTGGACTGATATCAAGCGCGACGCTCATTACTTACTATTCGGAGTAATTTACATGATGTATATATAGCAAGGTATATAGTTGTGACCAAGGGGCAACCGGCATTCAAACCGGTGACTAAGGGCTGGTTAGTTAGTCCGGCCGTGAGGCCAGAAAAAAAAATTTTGACACCCAGAATTTTGACGAAGAATAGGGTTCTGGCTTGCCTTTGCACTATTTTATGCACTCAGAACCAACAGAACATGATGTACTCTCTGTCTTGAGGTACATATCCATATATGGTATGTGATGTGGTCATGTTTGTCACGAACATTGACTTTCCTTGTCATGTGCGACTTGGTTGAACATTGGATTTGAAGGTTAGAATGAGCACCAGAAGTGTCCAAAATTATTTATTTGATTTGCCTGAACGCAATGTCTGTGGGTAGAACACCTCGGTGACTTGAACACGTGAAAAATTACCATATATGGTGCGTGGGAATGCTTACGTAGTTAGTTAGTCCCCGGTCGAGGTCGAAAAAAAGAAAATCGGCCCTATATCTTTTTTTAGAATGCCGGTTGCCCCTTGGTTGTGACGTGGGCGTTACGGGCCTCACGTCTTTGTTTCTTTCCTTAATACGAGATCCCTGGATTCTAGCTTGGCTGTTGGAGTACGAACGGCCCGAATCGCTAACAATTTAGAACTTCAGTCAGGAACGGCGTGGTTTCAACGTGGTTTAGAGTATCGGCAGACATCGGCCGAAACCTTGCCAAAGGCCTTCGATTATAGCCGATGACTCACCGTGACATCACATAAAAAGTGGCTCTCTCATTGTCAAGCCTCTCAAGCTTTCCTCATGGCTTCCGCCCTCAAAATTAACGGAAATGCTCCGCGCCCGCTGCAGGCGTCGCTCCTAACAATTGAACTCGCAGAGACCCGCAAGCCCATACCCGCTCCAGGGACTTACAACTTTGGAGATGTCCACACCGACCATATGCTTATCATGACTTACCATCCGTTGACTGGATGGTCTGCCCCAGAAATCAAACCATACGGTCCCATACCCATAGATCCAGCAAGGTATTCACCATTTTTCTATCAATTTTTATTCGCCCTAATTTCCGCGATAGTAACTGTCTCCAATACGCCACGAACGTCTTCGAGGGCATGAAGGTCGAGGCTCCATTCTATGGGCTTTCCCCGAGCCCATCTCATTAGCTCTACAGGCAATATTGGACCCAGAGGGCAAACCTCGCCTGTTCCGACCCAAGGAAAACATGGAACGCCTCCTCACATCCGGAGCGCGGATGGCGCTCCCAGTGCGGCCTACGTCTCTCACAATCGATCGCGTCAGTTGCTTACTTATTTTTTCGTACTGTAGACGTTCGACCCCGACGCGCTGTTGACCTGCATCACCAAACTCGTCGCAATAGAGTCACGCTGGATACCCTCGCTGCCTGACCACAGCCTGTACATTCGGCCTACCATGATCGGTACCAAACCCTGTACGCATCGAATTCCTTTGTCCTTTTCATCCTCCGCTCATCACTCCCCGTTCTTGTCTTATGCAATAACAGCGATAAAAGTCGGTGCCTCCGACCAAGCTACCCTCTATACCATCGTCACTCCCGTCGGACCCTACTTCCCCGTTGTCCCCAACTCACCCGCCGGCGGCGCCGTCTCCCTCCTCGCAGTTGGCGAGCACGTCCGCTCATGGCCGGGCGGCACGGGCGGGTTCAAGCTCGGATTAAATTACTCTCCAGGCTTCGTCCCGCAGCAGGCCGCCGCGGCGCTAGGATACGACCAGGTGTTGTGGCTCCTGAACCTTGACGGGAGCCCAAAGCAGATCACCGAAGCGGGCGCGATGAATTTTTTCGCGGTTATGAGGCGGGAGGATGGGGGTAAGTTCGTTTTGCTTCCCTTTCTTCTCTTTCATTTCCTTTGCATCATTTATTCACCCACGGCTGTTGAATCCAGGCATGACAATTGTCACCCCTCCGCTCGACGGCACCATCCTACCCGGCATTACCCGTGACTCCGCGCTCGCGCTCCTCCGCGCCTATTCGCGCGGGGACCTCGCACTTCCTCCACTCCCCAATCCCCCCGCAGCACCGATAGAAATCGAAGAGCGCCCCCTCACAATGGCCGAGCTCGCCGCATGGGCCGCCGCAGGGCGCCTACTCGAGTGTTTCGGGACGGGGACGGCTGTGCTGGTGGTTGGGATTGAGCGCATCGGGGATGTCGTTGGGGATGTCGTAGACGGAGCGGACGTTGAGCGTATCGACCCCGCAGATGTCGAGCACGTCGCGGCTACGGATTCTGGTTCAGCGGGCAAGGATGCAACAGGGAAGACCGTACGCATACGCGACTTGACGATGCAAGCGGGGCGCGGGCTGGGGCCTGTGGGGCGGGCGTTGTGGGATAAGTTGCTTGCGGTGAAGGAGGGGAGGGATGAGTTTGGGGGCTGGAGTGTTTTGTGTGAATAGAAGAGAGGGGAGATGGGCTGCAAAAATGAGGGTGCGTACATGGAACACATCCAAAACAAATAGCGACGTGTTCGCGTCGTCGGGTGTATCTTTTTAGACGAGAAATCAACCACTACTGCTACATGGCCACTTTTATTCGAAACGCGGTCTGTGTCGACGACCTGAAGATGAGTCGGTGACTCCAAGATGAGTCCCTCCGTCCTAGAGCTTATCTGCGGCTCCTCATGGGAAGGTTCAATGGTGTAGCCGGTTTATCACGTCTGTCTCACAATGAATTGGACAAAAGAGGTGTGCACAGGAGGTCCCCAGTTCGAGCCTGGGTTGAATCACATTTTGTTCACTTTTTCTTGGACTTGCTACTGTCGCTCTCGCTGACAAAAAAAGTCTGAAGGAAAACGCATTTCCCCAGTATATCACGGGCGGGGGCAGCCACGGTTTGAGCACATCGTGTACAGATTTGCTCCGACACAACGGCAGCTGAGTTCACTGGATGGATTCAACCGAAATACGCTGGAAAATGTTTCTGGGGCCACTTCAATACGCAGGATCGAGCGAGACAAAGCCAAAGTCCTGGTGCGAGTAAATTGTTCAGATGGGTGCAGTGTAAATCGTGCTACACTATTCCAATTTCTCTAGCTCTTCTAAGCGTAATAAAACGACATCCTTGCTGGTCTCTTGAATTTCCCCAGCAAGGAATATTTCATCCAGGATGGCGTAGACCTTTTCGCGGTGATTAGACCTCGACTCTTGAGAGACGGCATCAAGGCGAGCCACTGACCTTGTAGAAGTTGAACACCAGGTCTAGCTCGTTGACGTTTTCGAAGAAGGTGTCTAACGCACGGATAAAAACATCGAGTCAACAATTTTACGCCCCAGGGAAGGAAGGCAAAGTTACCTAGGACCTCGACGAAAAAATGTATAGCCTCCAGGTATGCGAGCTCATTGTCGTTCGCGTCGACGCAGACGCAGAAGAAGAGGCCTGCGTACCGCCGATACACGATTTTGTAGTTGCGGAACTGCCAGAATGGTACATGATTCGGATGACATTCAGCAACGACTTGACAGGAACGAACCTCGACAAAGTTGGACTGGTATCTCTGGTCCCTAGAACTCACCATTCGGTGTACCTCGCCTCGCACTCGGACCTGGCGTCCCATGAGTATCTCCCCATTAATCGGGATTGTGCTGCTCCAACACCTTTTCGTCATCCTCGTATGGGACGTACCACTTCGACAGTCTGGTTTTGCCTTGTCGATTCTAAGGCTGCATCAGGTTCTGGTCTGGCGATAAATGCTCCAGGCCTGACCTGCACAAGGATGAATCGAATCATCGAAGTCACGAAAGGAAACAACTCGTCGGAGTCGGATGATGAAGCGGCTGGCACAGCCTCAGAACCACGTGCGCGTGATGGGCGCAGCGACGTACTTACACTCGGCGCACAACACGACGAGCAACTATTCGCTGCGGCTGCGGACATCACTTTGTGGCGTGAATATTTCTGTACACTGATTCAAGCACTCTTCATGACAGATGTGGGCAATCAAGGCTGTGCACTTCCAGACGCCAGTAACCATCGTTAACCTCTCCTCTCCAAGTTTTCGCAAACCATGCAGCCCTTGACTCGCCAGAAATCCCGGACCAGTATATTCAGCTGGTGGTCGGACAGCAATCCGGGGCTAAGGGGTCCAACGATCAACCTTCATGCCGCGACGAAACCGCTGCTGAAATTCATGTATCACCGTCAAGCTTCGGAATTCATCCAGAAGAATCGTTCTGCGGCACTTTCGAACGAGTCCCTGCATGTTTTGTCAAGTTATCTTGGGTATGGGCCACCCGTCTACGTTGACATTGTCTGATCGGATATACTAGGTCCAAATATGTGGCCCTTTCGACCAAGCTTATGGTTTTACAGGTGTTGGATGATAAATTACGATCCACGGAGGAAAGTCGGCGCGTGATGATAGATGACCCCGTTGGACTACATCTAGTTCTAGAAATGCTGGGATCGCCATCCCCCCAGGTCCGGCAAGTGACATGCACCATATTGGGACGTTTGGCGGCAGACGAATCCACCATGTCCACCTTTCTGTGGAACTTCGGTATAAAACTGGTTCCCCTTATCCAGTGAGTTACCTATTGCTCTTCTTGAACACGATCCTCACTGAGCATAGCGATGAAGACGACAAAGTTGTCGAAAAGGCTATGTGGGCGTTTTCTGTAGCTGTGCATTGGCAGAGCGGGGCCCAGGTCTTCGTCGAATTCAAACTGCTGGACAGTGTTCGGGAGTTACTGGAATCCCCCCGCCCGTTTGCCAGGATGCAGGCTTGTCGGCTGGTGGGAAAGCTGGCATCGCATGAACACACTATAACAGCTGTCCTGGAATCAAAGCTTTGTACGCGGCTAGTCTTTCTCTTACGGTTAGTTCGATTATTTATTTTCAACGCAGTTATTATCTCACTTGGACTAGCGACGAAAGAGGCACGACTCGCGATGAAGCCGTATGGGTCAATAACGCGGCGGCATACGCGTTGACGCAAATCAGCCGCTCATTGCCTGGAGCAAAGGCGGTGGTCAACGCAAAGGTTTTAGACCACATACCTGAATTGCTTGGCTCAAATACGATGGTTCGGGACAGGTCCTGCGAACTACTCGACAGCCTCTTTCACCACGAGTTCGTTGTCCCCGCCATCTTGAGGCTGAATATTCTTGCGCGCCTGGTCTCCATCTCGGAGTTCGAGCTACCAGCGTACACTTGGGAAACTGATCCCACCAATCTCGCCGTATCGACCGACCTTCTCGCTAGGATGAGTCGATGCCCAGATGCTGTGTCGGCTTTGGCCGAAACAGATATCCTGGACGCCATTCAGAGGATTATTATCCGACTGAATGGTACGACTCTTCGAGCCAACGTGGACTCAATCCAAAACAATATTGCCCGGTACATAGAGAGTCGGAATCAGACTCAGATTTACAGGATTCGGGCCGATTGGGGCACAATCCAAAACAATATTGCGCGGTACAAAGAGAGGAATCAACAGCGTCATATTTTTATGGATCGCGCTGTTTCAGGGCTTTAACACACCAACAACAGCCGTTGTACTGTGTCTGTCGGAGTCTGTCTGCAAAGACTGATCCAATAAACCAGGTGTTGGGTTGGAGCTTCACTACAATCATACATTGTTTGGCAATTGTTTGGATATATGTGATTTTGGACGCAAATTTTGGGCCGAGCCACAATCACACCCCCAGGAAAAAAATTCCAAGATGGTTGCAATTGGGTTGCAGAGATTTTTGATCAGCGATCACTGGCCTTGTATGCGACCGGGCCGTGATCGGGCCGACTCTCCACGTTCTGCTTATCCCACCATGCCTCTCAGTATTGATGAATTTCCGCAAGACGTGCTTTTAGAACTCGCCAAATACTTGGACATCGCCGATCTCATCAGTTTCCTCTCGGTATGTGCGAACAGCTGGTCAAAGCGAAGCCTTACTATGATCCGTTAGATCTGTCGTGGCATTCGCGAGCTTCAATCCGAAAGAACTCTTTGGATCGACGCTCTCGTTCGGCTCAGGCAGGTTGAAATGCAACCCCCTCCTTTATCTTGCGGAATGCCTCTAAATGCGCTGTCTATGGCTCATCTCCAAAACGCTGCACGGCGAGCTAATCAGCTCATGAAGAATCTGAAGTCGGACGTACCACGCCCGGTGTGCATTCGCACTCTGTTCGTCGACCCTGGCGCCAAAATTTTGTGTATTCCGGGTACCAATCTCGTGGTGACTCACGTTCCGGGGAGCGTCAGCTGCTGGGACATTCTGACCTCCTGCCGCGTCGGACACCTGGAAATCCACAGCCTTCGTCTTGAAACGCCAGTAGTTTGTTTGGAGGCAACTGGGAAGGCTCTAATCGGCGCTTCCATCAGGTACGAGGGTAATATAACTGGGCAGATATCGTGCATTCACCAATGATTGTTAGCAAGACTGTCAGACATCTGGCGGCAATCTGGATCGATTTCCGCGATCGTGCGTGCGTTTCCATTTCCCGCACAGTCTCTCGGGCAACGAACGCCAATTATTTCTTCCGGAGTCATTGCTTCATGGATACTCGGGTGTTGGGATTCTGCACGAACTCTCAAATTGTGTTTTGGGGCCTCGATCCGAACGGCAAACTCGAGATCTGCCTACAGGATAATTGTTGTCCGGTGGGACGATTCTCTTGAATATCTGCGTGTTGCTTATCAATGTGAACTACAGCCTCGCTCGCCAACACCTACTTGCGTGCTGTTTGGAGGGAGGATATATATATTTCATCGCGGGGCCAATCTTGAGCAGGTTGAGGTGTACAGTGTTCCATTCTCCCCAGTATCCGAGTACCAGCCGGGCTCCCTAAACTACAACATTGCCCCGCCGAGCACAACCAACATGCGAGTCACATACCCCTTCCATCCGAATCAAAAAGAACTCCTCGACGCCGCAGCCCTCTTCAGCTTTACCGTCCATGCTCCCCATGTCTTTGCACCAGAGTGTGGCATTTACGCGGTGACGTGCACGGACTTGGGCCCCAGAACATCGTCGGTGGTTCACTTTCGGCCAGCGCGCCGCAGCACAGCGCATGACATGCTCGAAATAGGCCCTGGCTGCGTCTACGGGCACCCAGACCTGATTCGGCAGACCGCCGTCGGTGGGACGAGGCGGTATGTGCTTATCCGTGTAGCCTCCCCCTCAGAAGAGAGCATCTCGGGTTACCTAGGCCTACTGCACTTCAGTCCGACGTCGTCGCAGGACAGCCTCGCCATTACCTTCAGGAAATTGGACATCGGAGGAATTTCTCTGGATTTCTGCGGTCAAATCGCACTTGACGACTCTCTGGGCTTGGTTTTGGTTTTGGACGATACAGGGACGATGACAGCAATCTCGTACGTGTAATCTGCGATGTTCGATTCAGATATGTGTAAAGTTTGAGTGCTCGCTGAAAGAGGAATACGCTCAAAGTTCAAACGCGTTCATGATCTAAAGTCGAAATCGCGATATTGAGCATACCATTATGATTTCGCCCTACAGAACGCAACAACCACTCACCGCCGCCAAGGCCAACGAGCTAGTCACCGCTGATCCGGCTGCGGTAAACTCCTCTTTTCGGTCATTCTTGTTGATCTGGTGATATGGAGCATGTGTCGCGGGCACGATACATCTGCGCCTGACCTTGAAGAGAGGGAAATACTTATAAAGAGCCCTCATGTTCGGACTTGCCAGCCTCCTCCATGATGGAACTCAGAAATTGCCTTATAATGCTGGCGCTCGCGCTGTTTCCAGGTTCACATGCCGGATTCAC